TCAGCCCCCAGCCCTGCTGTCTCAGCCCAGCCCCACATGTGCATTAAGCAGCTGTGCCCTGGCAGAGGGGCTGCTCACCCTGCGCTGACACTCGCTCATGCTCAGCACCCCACAAGTGCTCCCTGCTTCACTAAACCTGGAGATTTAATCTTAACCTGCTGAGCTTTCTTAACACCTCAGCCGTTGGTTGGGTGGGGGGCCATGTTTGCAGGCACCCCAGGGGTTCTGGGGACCTGCCCTGACCTCGGGCTCCCTCGTACAAGTGTTCCTGGTGAACTTGACCCTGGCTGGCAGAGTGCAGGGCTGATCAGTGAGCACTCAGCAGAGCCAGGCTGCAATTAGTCGTGATCGCACGCGGGATTTGTTCCCTCGTTATGAAAAGAGCTCCTTAATTACCCGCAGGAAGGTATTTACTGGTGTGTTTACACCAGTGTGACTCCCCTGGTGGAAACTCTTGTTCCGGAAGGGTTGTCCCAAGGTGCATCCTAAGGAGAACGGGAGAGCTGTGCCATGTTGTGGTTGCATCTCCCTGCAGATGCAGACCCCTTTCCCAGGGGTTTGGTGCCAACAGGAGAATCACATTTCATCGGGATGGCTGTGCAGTTTGGGCACTTCCTCTTATAGATGGGCTCGGAGCTCTCAGAAGAAGAAAAGGAGGAAGTTGTGCCTTTCTCCTCCACCCCCCCTGCAGCCGCCAGGAGCTCCTCTGTGCCCTGAGCTTCGTGGTGCTCAAGTTGTGAACATGGTTGGGCGAGAGGGACTTTGGGGGAGGGGGCTGAGGCCTGGCAGCCCCTGTGCCTCCATCTCCCCGACTGCAGCTGCTGTGAGGGGGGATGTAAAACCCAACGGCTCCTGCGGCCGCTGCTCGGCCCCCGTGCAGAGGAAACCGCTGCTAACCAGGGCTGGGGAGAGGCCCTCTCTGTGCCTTGTCCCTGGAGCCACCGAGGGAAACTCTTTTTGAGGGGGAAAAAGGGCTTTTGGAAAGGGGGGGCTGGGATCTTCCTGCTGGGGCTGAGCACTGTGGTGGCTGCAGGGCTGATGGCTGCCATGGTGTGGGATTTGCTGCTCTTTGCTGGGAGCAGGGGTGGGACTATGGGAAATGGGGTGTGTGGGGGGGATGCTGGTCCTGCTGCTTGCCTGCATCTTGGCTCCCTGTCACATCCCATTTGTCCCAGTTGGCTTTTTGTCTCTGCTCTGTCCCCTTGGGGAGAGCCTGTGTTGGCACCACGGGGTGTCTTTGGCCAGGCCATGGTTTGGTGCCTGGTGGTGCCACTTAGTGTCAGCACTGCTGAGACCAGCAGATCCCTGCCAGCACCAGCCAGGCCCAGAGCTGCCCCAGCCTCCTGTGGCTCTGAGGGGTCCGTGGCTGCCTCTGAGTGTGGCTTTGCCAGGTGCTGGATCTGTGACAGCCACAGTAGCTTTTCACTGCCACTGGAACGAGGCCACTGGGATGGAGCTCAGTGTTTTAACACCCACCCAGCACCAGCCATGGAAATCTCTGATGGCTTCATGAACAAGTCACAGCATGGCTCAGGAACCTCCTTGACCTCCAGAGAGTGACCCTTGATGCTCTGTGATTCTAATGGTTGCTTTGCTACGAAGAGCACGGGGCAGATCCAGCCATTCCTGTACAGCCCTCTGGGACTGCCTGGGGCCAGGACCCTCCACCCACACGTCCCACGGGGCTAGTGGCTTTACTTGGGAAGGTCTGTCCTCTGCAGCTGTAGAATCATTTTCCATGGCCTGTAATCCGGGATAAATGGATTTGCCTCTTAGAAATGGATGCTGCTGCCATGGTGCCGTTTCCTGAGCCGCAGCCACGGCACTGCTGTGAGTGACA